AATGAATCGATGAGCTCTAGACCTGTGTAAATCGCTGTGATTTTATCTCTACTAGAAGATACCGCGTGGGGGATGCATCTGTGATAACGCGGGACTGTAGGCAAATTCTAGTAAGACTACGATTTCTACTGGGAATAATGTGGGGATAAAACCAGGGACAATGTCTGACCTTGAACGAATCCCGCAATACTGAAATATCTACAGAAACATCCTGTTAGGAAGACACCGAGGTGAGAATTTAATCCTGTCTATCGATACTTGTGTAAAACCAACTAAGACATTGTGACACCAACATTCTCCATAAACAGTGTTTGGTGTAAGTAATGTGCACTTTGTGCTGTTTATCATACTCCATAAATCTATGCTGCCTAACTATTTCGATCACAGTCAATGCAAACAAATCGATGAGTTTAAGAGATGTAATCAATGTATTATATGGTTTAATAGATGGTATATATAGATTATAGATCAGTTAAAGACATGTATAAATAAGGCACCTGGATGAAGGGGACGTGTAAACAAAACATGTGTAAACCTACTAGCCACTACAGCCACCTAGCTGATATATACAGATCTGTGACCATATCACCACGACATGGTGTTATATCTATCTATCTATCTTACTGCGAGCATGGGGAGACATATGTTATGTGCCTTAGTATAGCTTGCACACACTCACACATACAGGCACAGGGGTAGAAATTAACTTTTGAACAAGGGAGTCCAACGGACTCCCTCCCCTCAAAAAGAGGGAGTCCGCAGCAAAATGAGGGAGTCTGCAGTCTGAAGTTCAAAACTAAAGATATTTTAACAATAACACATGTGCTTATTTTGAAGATGCATGAGGTTGCACGTCTGCCAAATTTTCTTTGGACATTTACTGAAACATTCCATGTGCCGTGCTCTGGAATGAACTAGTTAGTATAGCAGAATTTTCAGGGAGTCACACGGACTCCTGCATATATGTCAAATCAGGGAGTCCGACAGTAAATCAGGGAGTATTTGACTCCGGACTCGCGTTAATTTCGCACCCTGCATGCATAAACGTATACTCAAAAAACAACTCACAACATATGCTTATGTAGCAGTCGACTATTTGCACTTGTGTATATCGCTCACCCTGGGTATGGATAATGTCGCATTGACCGCATATTCCAGAGCTGAGTTCAGGTGAACTTTGACCTTGCTCGTTATGTTCAGCGTGGGAAACCGGACAACAAAATGGCCGCTCTGCGATGACGTTGACGAGGCTTGCAAGAAGGCAGTAACTGTCACATTCCAAGGAATGCTGCTATTCCCTACGATAGCAAATGCAAACGTCATTGTTTTAATTATTTATGTTAACAAATGCAAATGTCATTGTTTCAATTACCGATGTTAACTAATACAAATGTCATTTTTTTAATTACCTATATCTGTATATGTTAATAAACACAAATGTCATTGTGTTATTTATCTAATTAAATGCAATCTTACGCAAATTTATGAAGCGCAATCATAACATGTGGGTGAATGTTGAGAAGAATACATACATTATATATGTGATATATGATCTCAGACACGACGCCGACACAGTGCCCTTGCCATTGCAGGTTTACTGGGTTTCGTTATCATATCTTGTCTTCGCGGCAATAAGCAAATTGAAATGTGAATGGACGTTAATCAGGTTTATAAGCTAAGTAGTTGGTACCTTAACCTAGTTGACACTGTTCTACGCAGACTTGTAGAAAAGGCTATAGCAGAAATTTGTATAAAATGTTTAACCTTTGTGAGTGACAACAGTAACATCTCTGATCACTGGTGAGTTGAAGGCTTCTATGCCAATATCTTTCCTAGAAGTAAAACGCACTTGATATTACAAATCGAGTTAACACGTATTATTTACCGCAAGCATTTAACATATTACAGGTAACTGTCCATGCTTATATTCCATGGTCTACACGTTTTTGCAATGACTTGAACCAGGGTATAAGCATGCAATGTCATTATTATACTTGGACTGTTGGCGTAACTATACAATGCTATCACACGGACATCTATCATCGATCTAAATCTCTTAATTGGAACAGCAGCCACTGAGATACCTACATCCTACTATACTATATATATAGCTACTTCTACCTACATCGTGAGATGTATCCTACCATATTCCCTGCGGACTACATCTTACTATACTACTTCTACCTACATCATGAATGTATCCTACCATATTCCCTGCGAACTACATCTTACTATACTACTTCTACCTACATCATGAATGTATCCTACCATATTCCCTGCAGACTACATCTTACTATACTACTTCTACCTACATCATGAATGTATCCTACCATATTCCCTGCAGACTACATCTTACTATACTACTTCTACCTACATCATGAATGTATCCTACCATA